TAAGTATGCGTCATAAAAGTGAGCCTCAAATATCATATCAATGTACTGGCTCAAAAAATATATAATATCAATATAAGCAATCTAAGAAGTAGTGTTAAAAATAAGAGTTGCACTTAAAAATTTTATTTAAATTAACATTTAAGCTTAAAAAATAAAATATTTTAAATAATTGAGCTTTTAAATTCGCCTTTATAAATTTAAAAAAAGAAGCTCGAGTCCCAAACAACCTTGAAAAAGCAATGGATATATAAATAATAAAAATCGTTTTTTTAAAAAAAAACCCACAACATTGATTTGGAGTACGTAAGTGAGCATGGCCTCTTAAGAGGTCTTACTCTATTACCCTGAGTTTGACCATGCTTGAATACAACTTAATTGAATAATTATATCAAAAAATAAAATACATTTGTCAAAAAATAATAAAAAGATGGACTATTCACAAGTTACAATAAATAATAATATTTTAATGAATGTTTGGCACTTGAGGATTTGAATTATAATTTTTTTTATTATCGTACTCTTTCCAATCCTATTTATATATAAGGCATTATTTCTATAATTTCTACTAAAAATAAAGAAGGGTTGAAAACATATTATCAATAAAAAAAATTAAAAAAAATTTAGTGTGCTCATATTGATTCTATATTTGTATAAGTGAGAAGCTGATAAGTTACATTTGAAAAAACATAAAACTAAAATCTTCAACTGAAACAAAATTGGGAAAATAGTACCATACCTTTTCTAGAAAGAATGTCATCATACATCTATTTCTCTAAAAATATTGAAAATTAATTGATTTATAATAAGTATCTCTAACATATCTCTACACAGGAGGGGGAATCAGCATAACATAAGAGAGACAGAAAGGGGGCAATAGAGAACTAATTAATTATAAAATATTGTGACAGCTAAGTTGCTGTGGTTTGAAATTATAAAGAAGGTTAGGAACTTTGTCATATAAGACTGGTCAATCACCTTCAACTATATATTTAGATAAGCTAATAAATATTCAAATTAACTTATATATCAAGCTTCTAGTGACAATTTGATATTAAAATTTTTGTAGATCTAATTTAGACAACAAAAAACCATATATTTTGATATGACTTGATTTCTTTTTCTTGCACAACTCTCCATTATCTTGCGTAAAAAAAAAAAAATGTGAGGTTTCTATCACCGTTCTTTAAATTAAGGATCTAAATTATTAAAAATTTGTGGAATGTGTAGTTCCACGTTACTGAAAAGATATATATATATATATATATACATATAAAATAAATGTTAGGCACTTGAGAATTTGAATTATAATTTTTTATTTTTATATTCTGTTTAATTTTATTTATAAGACATTTTTATCATTTTTACTAGAACCGAACAAGGGTTGAACAAATCTGAAAGAAAAAAAAAAAAAAAAGCTTGCCCATATTAATTGCATGAGTGAGACTGTGAGAAGCTGAGGATGAGTTCCATCCGACAAACATAAAATCCAATATATTGAACCGGAACAAAATGAAAAAAAAAAATGGTTATACATACCTTTTCTAGAAAGAATGTCACCATACAGCTTTTTTTTTTAATTTTTATTAAACTATAAAATATAAGTATATATAACATTTCACAAACGTGGAACTACATATTCCACTAAATTTTAGATCCTTAATTTATAAGACGGTGCTACAAACCTTACATGTTTTTTTAATTTGCAGAAATCAAGTCATGTTAAAATATGAGATTTTTAATTTGCAGCCCAAGGTGAATCATCAAACATCTTAATATTAAGATTGTTACTAGAAACTTGATAGGCAAATCAATCCATACATTTATTAGTTTTTACAAACATATAATTGAAGGTGATCATCTAGTTTTACATGGTAAGATATCTTCTTTATCGTTTCAAACCACAGTAACCCAGCTGTCGCAATATTTTATAATTAATTAGTTCTCTATCTCTTTCTGCTCCCATTATGATATGCTCCCTATTATATATCAATTAATTTTAAGATTTTTGAAGAAATAAGCCATATGGTGACACCATATGTATCTCGAAACAGATGTTCGAATTATTGGGATGTCATGATTGCTCGTCAACCCATACTCTCATAGAAAATTGATGATGTTGAGCATTGTGCCCAATCTAAGCCATCTGTCTCGAAGGGTGGGGATAAAACCAAGCACGTTTAATTAAATAATTATTCTAACCACTGTGTGAAACTTTTAGAAGGAGGCTACATTACATGAATTTTCAAAACGCTCTACAGTGAATTCCTACTTATCCATGATCATGTAAATCCAATCATGCTCGATGACATATCACAGTCATATACTTAATCAACACATCACGTGATCAATCTTACGCTTATTTAGTTATATTCACATATTCATACTTAATATATTTATGTGGACACTATATTTTATTCGAATATTTTTTAAATTTAATAAAAATAATAATAAATAATTAAAAATATATAAAAGTACAAAAATAAAATTTAATCATTTTTAGGATTATATTTCAAAAAAATAATTAATAGGGTTAATTTTATTTTATCCTGAATAATCTTTTGTTGATTAAGATTTTATTTCTTTTAGTTCATTAAAATAATTAAAAAAATATAAAAATACAAAAATAAAATTTAATCCTTTTTAGGATTATATTTTCAAAAAATATTTGTTTAATCCAAAATTAAATTTTTAAGTCCCTTAATCCAATTTTTGAAATTAATAAACATAATTTAAAAAAGAGTTATTAAAAATTAAAATATATAAACAAAGTTTGGTCCTTCGTTCGTGCACACGTTACAGCATAAAGAAAAAAAAATAAAAACAGTACACACGAAACACAGAAGGAGAGCAGAAAGCAGAGTAGACACACACACACGAACACTTTCGATTGGACCAGATGGAAGGGAGTAGAAGAATTTAACCATCAAATTTGGTCCTTCATTTGTGTGTCATGCACGTTACAGCACAGAGAAGAAAAAGAAAAAAAAAACAGCACACACGAAACACAGAAGGAAAGAGGGAGCAGACTCGGCCACATGTAAAGCAGAAAGTAGAAGAAAAATAGATGAAAAGCACATGGAGAAAAAGCATAGGAGATTAGATGCATGCATGCACAGCAAAGCAGAGCGAGAAAGGTGAAGCACGCAAACTCTCTCCTCACACACAAGCTCTTTCCTATTTTTGCTTTAAAAAGAGCACGAGAAACAGAGCAGGAAATGGAGGAAAAAGAGAGCATGAGAAACAGAAGGAAAACTAAAAAATAGAGCATAAAAGAGAGAAGAGAAACTGAGGATGTGGGAACAGAGCCAAAGACATAAATGGATGAAGAGAAGAGAGAAACTGAGTGAGAAGAGCACGAAAATAGAGCAAAAGAGAGAGACTAAGGAAGAGAAGAGAGAGATTGAGGAAGAGAAAAAAAAACAAAGAAGAATGAGAGAAAAATTGACGAGAAAACTGAAATAAAAACAGAGCATGGGAGGCAAGAATGAATGAGAAAGAGACGGAGGTAGAAAATAAAGAAAAAACAGATAGCATTTAGAACGGACGAGAGGACTTCTAAAGAGAGAGCACTGAGAAAAAAACAAAGCATAGAAGAAGCCTGAACAAAGAAAAGACGAAAAAGGGCAGGAGAACCGGACAAAAAAGAAGGAAGAAAAATGAGAGAACTGGAAGGAGTCAAGAAGGGGAAGAACAGATGAGAGAGGCTTTGAGGAGGAAGAGGAGAGTGAAAGTGTGAGACTATATGCAATGCGAGTGAAGCATATGCTAGCAAATTCCCCATCCTACCTCATGACTGCCTCCAATAGGGCATTTATTCTCATTAATGCACCAACTCCTCCATCAGCTATGCTTCTTTCATGGCTTTCTAACTCTAGCAGCACTTCAGCTATTAGGCCACCCTCGCTTTTTGTGACGCTAAGTCTCTCTCCCTTTACTGTGGTTGCTTCATCTCCATTTCCATGGTTACAACTTGAGAGAATGCCAAAGAATACTCCTCCTGTTATTCGAAATGCAACACCTCATGGAACTACTTCAGGTTTTGGTGATAACATGCTGGTATCTGAGCTTGATGAATACTGAAAAGTGCTGGAAGAGGGTCACCAGGCATGGTCATCACATAAGAAGGAAGCAGTATGGAGGTTAAGGCGAGTGGAGCTGCAGTTGGAGTCAGAGAAGATAGGGGCAATGATGGGGGCCACATTAGAATCATAGGCTGCTGCAACTCAAGGATGTAGTCAATGGCAGTTAAATCAGGTAATATTTAAATCATGTCATCTCCCTTAATATGGATTCATTGATGAACATATATATTGATAGATGTTAAAAGTGTGGACTGATCCAGATGTATGTTTAGGCATTAAAAAAAATTCAGTAATTAAATATTTTTATGTAGAATTTAGAACATATCTGAGAGGTGTTTGACAAAATAAAAAAAAGCCTGTGAGAATATTGTTGATAATTTATGGGGTGATTGTGGTTTGAAGCCGTATCTATTATGGTTATGATCTTGCTAAAAGTTTATGCTAAAGTTGAATTTTTTTTAGAATACATCCCCAAGTCAAAAGAATAGTGAATTGTCAAAATAGTTTATTTCTCTATTCTTTCCATTGCCTTTATTGCATGAATCGTTTAGCCAACCATAATATTATGCACCGACTACAAATGTAAATATTTTGATTATCTATTTATCGTGTGAGATTTTAAGAATCTCTACAGGCATTTAGAATAATTTCATACTATGTAAATCAATAAAATTTTGTAGGTATGAGGATCAATATTGTAGGTATTTATATGGGTTTCAAAGGCCCATTATTAAAATTAATTTTTTTATAATAAATATTTAAATCTCATGTGAAATTTCAAAAATCTTCGTAGAAAATTAAATTAATTTCCTTATTGTGTAGGATAATAAATCCTTGCAGATATTGTAATTCATAATTTATATGGTAAATAAATAAGCAAATTTTATAAATAAAGTAAAAATATTTTTATAATTTTAATTAATTAAATTAATTTATTTAAATTGTAATCACATTTACCAATTATATCTTTTAGTCACGTGAGATTTTTGAATCTCCGTAGACTTTTAAGATCATCATATTATCGTATGAGTCAATAAGACTCTGCAGATATAATGATCAAATTTTCAAAGAAATATATAAAATATATTAAATTAAAAAATATATTTAAATAAATTTAATTCTTTTATCGTGTGAAATTTTGAAATCTTCGCAGATATTTAGGATAATCATATTACAGTATAAGCTAATAAGACTTTGCAGGTATGACGATTAAGATTCTTTAAAAACATATATATACATGCTTAAATAAATTATTACTAACACTCAAAAATATAAATAAATTAAGTTATTAAATTCTTTTATAGTGTGAGATTTTGAAATATTTACAGATATTTAGAACGATTGCATTATTGTATGAGTCAATAAGGCTCTGTAGGTATAACAGTTAAATTCTCAATCATAAAATATAAAATAATAATAATAATATTAAACTCTTTTCTTTCCTTATTCCAAAAATTTAAAAATTGAGAAAATAATTAAAATTAAATTACTTTTTGAAATTTAAAATACACACATCAAAAGTTCATAAATTGTTTTATTTACAAAATGGTGACTTATTTCTAATTAATTTCTCTTTAAAAAAAATATTTTCACCAATAATTTTTTAAGCCTGAACTACATGAACTTTGATCTCCATCACAAGGTACGTAGGTTTTAGAGTTGGATTTTGAGTCAAATCCTCCCTCATAAATAAATAAATATTTTCCATTTTATTATTATTATTTTTTTAAAACACGTGAATAAGAAAGGGATAATTAAAATAACTTCAAAACCATATTAATATAGCACAACAAATTTCAAGTAATCATTTTGATGAATGGGTGTTGTGGGGTGCCTAACACCTTCCCCACACTCAATCGATTCTCGAACCTATTTTCTATTTTCACAAACCATCTTTATCATCCTTTAACTGGTTTCCCAAGATTTACCTCAAAATCTTAGTAGAGACTCTTATTCCAACCGGTTCCCACCCCAAAGGCTGGAATCTCCACTTGCGTGCCATCCGTGTCGCATTTTTCGAGTGCAACAATTTCATTTAGCCATTCACTCACTTCCATACGTACATATATTCACATGTTGATTTCATTGATCATAGGACAACATGCTTGCATAAACTACACACTTAATCACATAATAATCATACATAGCTCATAAGTACAAATATCAAACATATATTAAAATTTAACCCTGATTACCTTAACTCTTGATTTACCATACCAAGAGTAAAATTTGAATTCAAAGGGAGCTTCCTAAATGCACAAATGATGGCTCCAAAAGTAGTTAATCTACAATTAAAACTATTAAACATCATTAATGAGTAATTATTATTAATTAACCTTTAATCAAGGTTCCTAAGACCCCCGTTAATGACGTTAACTATAAACAACCTCATTTTTAACTTCTATTAGTTTAATATAGGTTACTTACCATGAAGATTAACTGTAAACTGCTCATTAACACCACTAATCAATATCATTAGCTTAACCCTTTATGTAGAAATGAAAATAAACATCCCAAGACTCCATTGAAGTCAAAGGGATGGGTAAAATTTGGTTTAAGGTTTGGAATTTGGCTTTCACAACTCAAAAAATCAAGAAAATGCTTAGAGAAGAGAGGAGAAGAGAAGATGAAGTTTATTTAGTGATTTGGTAGTTCAAAATAGATTCCAAACATCATCAAAACTAGCCCTAGTAGAGCACCCTTCACTTCCTCACTCACTATTCATTTTCCTCTTTCTTTCAAATTGAAAAACGTGACTTTAAAATTTTAAAATATAATGCATTCGTCATGGCGTATTGTGCCATCCATCGTGATAGATAACACATAACAAAAACCGTAAGCCTATTAATTTGGGTCTAAAGTAGTCCAATATCTTACTAGACCACCATTCTAAGCTCCCTATAGGATCCACTAGACCCAAGTGACCATCCACTCATTATAATTAACTCTTAAAGACCTCAATTAATTAATTAAACTCCATTAATTAATCTAATTAATTTTATTTAAATTTTGGGATGTTATATTAAACTCCAATATGCACATGGGGTTTCAAGCTGGACGCAGAGCTTAGGGATAATTAAATGAACTTTTCCTTAAGCACAAGCTTTAATTTGTTATTAAATTTTATAATAAAAAGATGTACTATAAGAAACAAGAAGAGGGTTGGTGATGATTAATTTTGAAATGGTTAGTTATAAACAAGGATATTTTGCTCGTAACATTATATTTGAATTCTCTCCATCCTCATTTATTAAAAATTAATCATTTTTTAAAATAAGTAAATAGGCCAGCCCATAACTTGAGAGGGCCAGCTCATTCATTTTTGAGCCCTACTCATTTAAAGTCGATTAAGCATTGATGTACCCAAAATGCAAGTTTGGCTTTTCATTTAAACAGACTTAAACAAGATGGCCTTATAGGCTCAACCCATTTTTTGGCTCTAGTTTTCCTTGAAAAATATAATAAAACTAATTTTGGCAACCTTACTTTCATAAAATCTTTCACATGTGAGTTAATCTTTGGATTAGAACCAACAAACGGGCAAGCTCAGCTCATATAAGCTCGGCCGTTATGGCCTTAGACACAAGCCCATTAACCATAAAATCAATCATTTTTTAAATTTGACCCTTATTAATTAGGCTCAGGCCGGCCTATTAGCCCTTTTTTATTTTTAAACATTTTAATTTTTAAAAATCAATTTTTATATTATAATATTATATATTTTTTCTCTAAAATATAAATTATAATATTCAAAAATTAAAAATAAATAATATAAATTTAATTTTTAAAATTAAACATATATTCTAAAGTGTACATTTAATTTAAAAATGAAAAAAACTTAAGTACTTAACATTATATATTTAATATATTTTTATTCAATTAAATTAGAGTAAGAAGATTCTAATGCTCTTTAAAAATAAAAGCATTTTATTTGTTAAGAGTAAAACAAAAACGGAGATAAATGGGCTGTTCAAGCTTGTTTTTACAGGTTAGGCCCAGAAACTTGATTATACTAACAATATTTAATTTTTTGACACCGAACCTTTTATAAAAATGAGTTTAAAGGTGCAGCCTATCAATTGTAATCCGTTTTCCCGACTTTGTTTTGGATTTGTCACTATTCATAACATAATTAGGACTTCATACAATTTGTTTGTCCAATTATCATAATGTCATCAGTCACAACTGTGCGTTATGCAAAAGAAATTATATATATATATATATATATATAATGTTGCATTTAGATATATGAGAATTTAAATTTGAATATAAACCAAATCCCCATTTGGATACAAAAAAGTCTATAGATTTGAATTTGATATAAATTTAACTCAATATTTTATTATAATTTTTTTGTAATTTTAAATTCTTTATAGATCTTAGTTATTTCTATACTCTGACTCTCTCATGCTCTTCACATAGTCAGTATCAGTGTCTCTGTTACTCTCATCTCTCATCTTTATCTCTTACTAATTAAGAAATAAAGGCAAGCTCGTCACTCCTAATTTTCTATTTCTATATTGAATGCTTGTCTCTCTTCTACATATCTTTAAAATTTTCTGTACTATCCAAACAAAGAATTTTGAATACATAAACTTTAATGTAAAATTTTAAATTTAAATTTAAATTTAAATCCATTAATCAAAGGCTTCCTCGATTTTTATTTCTAATTAAATGAAGACATGTAAATTTTTATATATTATTTATTTATGGAAAACTCTTATTATTAATATTTTTAACATTTTAAATTTATTTAATTTAATTTTAAAAATATATTACATATATCAAATTAAGTATGTAAGTTTTCTCCACGTAGTGGCAATAATTTGGGTAGCCAAGGTTTCTTCAGGTCAAGCTTGATAAAAAATACCTTAAATATATAAAAAAACTCATATAGTCAAACTCAACCCTAATATTTCAAGCTTTTCGGGTTATTTGAATTGTCCCAAATATCCAAATTGTTAAATATTATTTTATTTTATTTTTTCTTTTTTAAGCCAAAATT